TAAAACAAACAAAAATAATTGACTTTGGATATGGCACGCCATTCATCTTCACATTAGCATCTGAAAAAAAATAGGAAGACAACTAAAAGTGTTAAATTTCTATGCATTTTCCAACATGATTGTGAAAAGGATGTCATAACATACAGAATGTAAATATTTCTGTTATCCAATTACAGTCATATACATAAAGAGGTAGCAATATATGGAATTTTTCTAGCCTGCCCAAAGCCTTTTGTTTCAGCCCTACATGATCTAATCATTGTAAGTTGGGATATAATGTCTCTGTCAGGATGCTCTTATAGACATAGGCCCTCAGAACTGGATAGGCTATTAAAGGAAGAACAGTAGGAATTAGTAGTTAAGAGTTCAGGAATTTTAGTTAGACAGTTTTAAATCCTTAGCCTCTTCCCACTGTATAAATTTGAGTAAGTTTGCAATTCTCTCTGAGCTCAGTTTCCTTATCTGTAAAATTGGGAAAATAATCCCTGCCTCCTGAAAATTAAAAGATATAATATATAAACATCTCCTCTATACATGCTTGATGCTCAATAAATGTTAGCAATGATGATTATTATTAATCTTGACAATATTAATAACATCTAATTTTTGAGAATCTATACTTTCAGAATAAAATTCTTTTCAAAGAGAAGATATTCTAAAGAGAACTCTGAGAATTCACACATCTAGAAGAGAAAATTCAAACTGAAGCAAAAAATTAGAAATAATAAATATATGAATCTGTATCACATTTGGTATTTTAAAATGTCATATCAATTGTGAATACCTTTGAAAATATTATTTGAGCAAAGTTTACTGATAAAACTCAAACCTCAGGGATAGAAATAAGAATCAAATGACCTTGTAAAGTTTGAAAGACTGGAGGAGATCATGTTTGCTAAAACCAAGAGGGAAATCAACAGGCACAAGGACAATGTAGATATTGTTCAGGCAGGATAACAGCAGCAAAACTTTTCACAAATGCAGAGACCTGTGTAGAATTGGGCCTAAGATGAACAAGACAGGGTTATCACTGGTCTAGTGAAAAAGAAATAAATACACTTATTAGGACACATTTACTGCAGTGGAAAGAACACTGGGCTGGGCAAGAGGAACCCCAGACTGGACCTAATCCTGTGTTGACTCTCATATGACTTTGGGCCAGTACCTTCCCAATTGGGATCATCTATAATGAGTAAATGCTGGACAAACAAGTTTCTAAGGCTCTTCTAGTGCTGAAATGTTGTGTTCCTTTAAAAAAAAAAAAAGGCATGAAGTAGCCCATATAGTACATTCTATATTAGTTAATTTTTTTATATTAGTTAATTTTTATTATTTTATTTCATGATTTATAATCACAGCTCTTTGATACTATGATAATAATAGATACTCTTTGCTGAATGCCTGTTTGCACCTGCACCAGCCCTGATAGGTAGGTAGATATTATACTCCTTTTATAAGTAAGGAAGCTAAGGTTCAAAGAAGTCTCAGATTTGTCTGATTCCAAATGACTTGTTCCTTCTCATTTTTCTGTGAACTTTTCTTAGTGCCCTGAAAAAAATTCAGAGTATGATTAGAATGATGAAAGATGTAAAGGCCAAGCATGGTGGCTCACGCCTGTAATCCTTGTAATCCTAGCATTCTGGGAGGCCGAGACGGGCGGATTGCCCACGGTCAGGAGTTCAAAACCAGCCTGAGCAAGAGTGAGACCCTGTCTCTACTATAAATAGAAAGAAATTAATTGGCCAACTAATATATAGAGAGAAAAAAATTAGCCGGGCATGGTGGCGAATGCCTGTAGTCCCAGCTACTTGGGAGGCTGAGGCAGGAAGATTGCTTGAGCCCAGGAGTCTGAGTTGCTGTGAGCTAGGCTGATGCCTCAGCACTCACTCTAGCCTGGGCAACAAAGTGAGACTCTGTCTCAAAAAAAAAAAAAAAAAAAGAAAGACAGAAAGATGTAAAAATCTTACGCTATAAAAAAGCAGTCCAAGAAATGGTGGCTGTTTACTTTGTTTTCATGTTAAAGATCAAAATATATTCCAATAGATTAAATATTAAATGGCTAAAAATTAAACTATAGGAAAACATGGGTAATTTGTTAAATATATTGGAGAGGAGACAATATAATACAAAACTCAAAAGCCTAAAAGGAAAAAAAAAGTGATAAATATGACTGTAAAAAACATTTTAAAATTCTTTGTGGCATTAACATACAAGAGAAAAGTTAAAATACACTAATACAAAACATAGATGCAATAATACAAAATACAGATAATAAACCAAGAATATTTAGTAATCTAAGAGGGAGGACAATATTCTTAATATGCAGATAAATTTTTAAAAGACTAAACTATCTAAACAAAAAATAGACAAAATAAATGAAGGTGCATTTTATGTAAAAATAAATTCAAATAAGCAAAGTTATTAAAAATAAATTCAGCAAACCTCTTATTGAAGAAATACAAAATTGAAAAATAAAATTGTTTACCTGTCAGAATGGAAAGCGTCAAATGTTGAGGTATGTACAATTATTACAAGAATATGAGGAAGTTGAAAATCATATATAATTTGTGGGAATATAACTTAATGCAACATTTTTGGAGGCAATTTGATGATGACTATCACACTTTCATACTCATATTCTTTACTCAACAATTTTCTGTTAGATGATATTTATCACATTATTGCTTACAATAGTAAAATACTGAAGCAACCTAAATGTCCATCAACCATGCACTGGTAAAACAAATTCTTACATTGCATAATAGAACACTCATCACTATTAAAAAGAATGAGATTAATGTGTAGGAATTTATAAATTAAGAAAGCTCTCTAAGATACATTAGTAAGTAGAAAAATCAAGGTATAAAACATTATGTAGAATATATTATTTTTATAAATTTTTAAAGTGTTAATAATAGCAAAAAAACAGAAACAACTTTAAGCAGATCAATGAGGACTTCACTGAAAAGTGCTGGCATATCTACACCATGGAATACTAAGCTTCCATTAAAAAGGTAGAATGATATGAACTGATATGAAAGATGTCCAAGATATGTCAAATGAAAAGCAAAACAAGATTTAGACTTGTATAAATGATATTATCTGTTCACATAAATAAAAAGACAATAATATTAAAATATATAGAGAGAGCAAGAGAAATAGAAACTCATGTGCACATAATGAATTTTTTAAAACTATACATACAAGTGGTTACCTCTGGAAATGGAATTGGTAACAAGACTTTGATCTTTTCCTTTTATACCTTTCTGAAACAGAATTTATTTACCATGATTATATATTATTTTTTAATAAAAAGTTAACTCTAATTGTTTGACAAGAGAAGAAATTATTTGGCACATGAAGATTGGGCAATTCAGCTTCCTGTAGGCAGGAGCCTGGATCAAACTACTTTCTCAGTCTCTTCCGGCTGGCAGTCAATATTTCTGTCTCAGCAATAGCCTAGAGTCTCTGAAAATGATTGTCATCTCCCAACAAAAAGATATAGAGTTTTATAGCTTAAGAGGGCTTCAAACTCAAACAGCCTAACAGATCTTTCCCTCTGAGGTGGGAGAAAACCAAGGCTCAGAGAGCTGGTATGATAGTCAGCTACTCAGTGGCACAGCCAGGCCAGGCCTGACTCAGTAGACATCCCAAGGTTACCATGGAATCAACGCTTGCAGTGAGGAGTTCACCAGAGTAAAAAGCCAGGGTAGAAGCAAAGAAAATTACAAAAGCAAATAAGAAGACTTTAACAAAGTCATTATTAGAGGACCAGGATGTGGAATTGAAGATTACAGACATTCAAGGCCTAATGGGGGAGCAATTAAAGTGGTAACCCCCCATCTACTAGTCAATATTATTGTCAAAGAGAATTGATTAGAGGCAAAATAAAATTATATGTTTCACATGTAGGTAAACTGATCACTTATTTTATTCTTTCACAGGCTATAGTAACCTGCCTTATAATAAAAGGAAGAAAAGAGTTTTCCAAAACTGAGGCTATATAAGATTATGTCACATGCCTCAAAACCCCTAGTATCGGCCAGGCCAGAATTCTGATATCATCTGCCAAACTCTATTTCTATGTAGGCTAGAAGACCAGACTTACTGTGTATTCAATTCAAGCAGAAAAGCTTAGGGGCTTGTCTTGTTCACCTTTGCTCCCCACCTACTGTTTCGGGTTTCTCGGTATCTGGGTCATATACAGAGCCCTGTCGTTGAGGAGCACTTAGTAATTATATCGTGTTGACTTACACCGAAATAATCCAAGAAAGATTTTAGTGTTTGCCTCTCATTAAATTTGACTTAAGAATGATTTTCATCCTGGTAGAGTTTGGGGCTTGGTTTTTGATGTTTTGTTTCTCTTTCAGTATGTGACCCAAAATGGGAGTTAGCAATAGCAAAATAAACCCCAGGCACTCTTTATTTCATTTTGTCAGAATTCATTCTGGAATTGTGCATGAGAAATGGGTCAGTCAAGTTTATTTTAGAACAAGGCTCAGGGCTGTCTACCCAGGCTCAGGATGACAGGACTAGGCAACTGACCAAAGAGGGGGCTTTGGCAGCCAGCCAGGCCCATTTTATACCATCTCCCCAGGACCTTATCTGAATATTTTAATCTGTCAGCATATACTTGTCTGTGCATATCACATGTGTCTCTCTTTATCATCCTGTTTTTTCCACTAATTTTGAAGGCTTTTTTTTATCCAAGAAATCTAGGAAACTCACTAGGGCATATGAAATGCGTGCACTAGAATAGACAAAAATGTTTTCCATTCGATCAGACCATGGCACAAACACCACAGGATGCAATTTCATATTTCTAACTAAAAGTTATCAAGACCATGACACTGGCTAAGTTCACAAACACCTGAGTAGGATAGGGTTTTGAGGCATGTGACAAAATCTTATATAGCTTCTCGGTTTTGGAAAACTTTTTTCTTCTATCAGAATATCATGCCTTATGATGTACTGAAAATCTCTGGCTTCCTCTCTTTCAGGTGAATGGCATTGACCTCCGTGGTGCATCCCATGAACAGGCAGCCGCTGCGCTAAAGGGGGCTGGACAGACGGTGACAATTATAGCACAATATCAACCTGAAGGTCAGTCAGAACCCAAATTTAAATGTTCTTATGTCTCTGTGTGAATATGTACCCACATTACTGATCACCTGTATTAATCAGAGTCACCACCCATAATGTTTTGGAAAAACACCCAGAGTGAAAAACTGATGGTTCATGTCCAAAGAACATGAGACTTTGTTACCCATAATCTTTCATGAAATCATCAGGCACTTAGAAAGGCCTGTATGAGAATATGAAAATAAATAGCAACCAGCAATCAGTTTTATTTCATTTCTATTCTTATCTGGTATGCATTTTTGGTGATCCATGGATACTGTAAAAACAATTAAGACTTAAGAAGCAAGGGGTAAATATTTCTTCTATAGAAAGAGACTGTGATCAGTAGACCATATTCTCTCCTTATGGCATTAACTTAATTCTCATTAACGCTCACATGGCTTTTGAATGTCCTTGATGGGGATTTGTTGTTTTCTTTGCCTTTTCTGCTACATTATCTCTTGTTTGGAATAAATCACTGTAAACCCTGAGACTTGGTGAGATGTCATAAATTGGATTAGCCAACTGAAACTCGATGAGATATCCTAAATTGGATTAGCCATACCCTGCTCTTTGGTTTATTTAAACATCTGTTTCTGTGATCAGACCGAGGCTCAACAACTCACAACTGGGATGTTACCTAGTATGTGGTTGATTTCTTAGCAAACTCATATATAGATTCCTTCTTTGCTAGTGAAATGTGCTTAAGCACACCAATTGTACAAAAAATAAAAGACCTTGTACAAAAAATAAAAAAAGAGGAATATGACTTCTGTCTTCAAGAAATGTAGTTAATTGCTTTTTTACCATGAGGGTAGAAGATTCCATCAAGGAAGAACTTCTGTGCATGATGGTGTAAAAAGCTCCTTTTCAAACGATTCTTTGTTAACATCAATTGGTCTATTGTTGTTTGGAAGACTGAAGTTTGTGACTTGCCTGTGACAGCTTAGATTTTATCACAAATGATGGCTAATCACATGCTCTGCACAAAAATAAAGAAAACGCTTTCATCTGTGCATATTTTAGTATATTACCTTCACTTGTGGCTGGCTTTAGAATTATAATTTACATTTATACAAAAATTTTTATAAATGTTTTCTCCTATTGGACTAGGGCCAGATATGACCAGAGAGTGGGGAAGAGGGGATTATATAAAGGTAGATGATGGCAACACCAAGGAAACATTCCCTTCCCAGATAGTTTTTTAAGTCTTTCCACTTCTTAAAGATTATTGGACTTGTCTTCCAACAGGACTAAATGCCTGCAAAAGTATCCTTTGTAAAACAGAAAATGAAAGATCTGGGTTAGCATAATTTAGCTAATAAATTCTCTTTCATATAGAATAAGAATTTTTCATGTGAATTTTCTATTTTCTGGATAGCTCTTTTTGTTGTGTGTTTTTTTTCAATCTCAAATTCTATGCCTTTCACCATCACCTGACACATGGCATAAATATCTCTGGCTATTTTCTTGTTTCTGAAAATTTCATCTCAAATGATTCTGCAGACTGATAAGATGGTTAGAACTATCCATACACCAATTAGAAGCTCTTGATAGTGATCAAGTGTTCACATAATAACCTTGGACAGGATGATTTCAAGTTTTAGAGGTTAAAATAAAGGACAAACATATCCTAGTTCTATCAGTATAAATCTTCATCTTTCTACTAGAGCTTCCTTACAACTTGGTTTCCTTTAAGCAATCTATTTAATTGGGATATTGTGCTGTACTTATCAAGATGCCTATTTAAAGGATGCCTTATAAATTTTATATGTATGTGTATATATATATATATAAATTTTTAAAGTGCTTCTAAATAAACCTGCAAATAACAACCTTTTTTAAAAATGCCACAGCATGGATTGAATTCGCAGAATGACTTCCTTATTTTGATAGTCTAACTGTATTCTAATTTATCATAGCTTTAAATTAGTTGGAAATGTGGTAATGACAACATCAGCAATTAGGTTTTTTCCCTTCTTTGCAAACTTGATGTGTAACTAAACTTAAATTTATCTATGGTTTTGAATGAAAAACTGATTGGATTGTTGTTTTGGTCCTTTAGGGACATTTAAATTATATAATGTTTTTAAAGAAATAATGAACAATTTACCTTTAAAATAACAAGTGAAATGAAGAATGTATCAAGAGATTCCATTAGGAAATTCTCACCCAGGTCCCCTTCATTTGCACCAGTATTATGAGCTATCCAACTGCTATCCAGTGCTATCTCTTAGCACTAAGACAGTGCTAAGAGAAGATTTTATCGACATCTCTTTAAGTACAGTCAAGAACCAGGCTTTTGATAAATGCATTTTTCAGTTACCTTCAAATACTTCATCAGGAATTTTCTAAAATGCCTTGCTCAGTATTACCAGATATTCAGAAAATTCTGCCTCCCATTCCAAGTAATATAGCATGGTCTTTGTCTTCAAGGAAATTTTTTATCTTATTGAGGAGAAAGGACTTTACACATTATTAATAGAGTCTAGTTATAGATGATATATGACCAAATTGTATGATAATGGCACCATCTCTGAGCATTATGGAATGTCAGAGAAAGGACAAACCTGCAGAGGCCAGAACAGTCAAGAGAACATCATGGAAATGAGAAAATGGAGCCAGGCCTTAAAAAATGGGTGGAATTTCTATTCTGGAATGGAGGGAGGAATAACGTCTTTCTAAACTACAAAATTGTGAGCCCCATGCATGCAAACACCATACCTATATTTTGTTCACTGATAGATCTATCTCTGGTGTTATAATTGGTATTTCTTAAAGAGTTGCTGAACTCATGAATAAAAATTTATCATTACTCAGTACTTGAGTTTCCACTTAAAGGTAATTGAATATTGAAGGGATTCTTCATTTTTACTGCTCGTACTATTCATTTTTGCTTCAAAGACAGAAAAAAACTTGCTAAAGAAGTGTGTGTCGTAACATTCATTGAGTGTCTGGAAAAAAAAAAATAAAGAAGTGTGTGTCGCAAAATATAAAACCATTTCCAATTGTGCTTATCATAGTGCTTAGCATTTAGCACATTTTAAAAATAATTTTAAATAATTTATAATTATAATATATAATTAATAATTTATAATTATCATAATGGAAGAATAAATGTCTTCCTTTGCAAGTTTCACTCCACAAAGTGAGGCCAAAGTTGTCATACTCATTTCTGCTTAAAATGAACTTGGCTTCAGTTGTCCAAATTACTCTATCATCAATCTTATCCAATGTTTAATTCAAGATAGTGGAATTAAAGTCAATTTGAAGAGTTATATATAATATTTCTCTCCTGCGGTGTGATTGTCATTTATTTTTACCATCTTTTTAGGTGTAATTTGTATCACATACCTATTTTTAAATTAACATATATTTATAATAAGAAGAAAATATTGTTTTTTCTTTTCTGTTTTTCTTTTCTTTTTTTTTTTCTTTCCTTCAAAAGGATTACATATCTTATACTTCAGAAATAATTCTATTTAAGCAATATGGGAAGTTAATTCTTGTAAAACCTTTAATTACCTATGTTTAGTTCGCGAAGTTACTCTAACACCACACTAGAAAACAGTAATTTCTACACAAACACATACTCACACACACACACACCCCTCCCTCTCCTTACCCTTCCCAGACATCTTCCCCATTGCTTTCAGAATTATCTTTCTAAAGATATGACCCCAAGGTGGCTGTGCAGAAATCCCTTGCCCTTCACAATGTATGTTGGCTTGAGGGAAGTTGGCCCTCAGGCCAACTTCCATGCCCTGTCCCCACTCACCCCACCACCACACTCAGCATCATCTTTTTTCGCTCTCCCACTGCTACGCAGGATGGCTCCCTGCTCCTATACTTTGTCCTGAACAGTCATGCTTCTGTGCCTTTACTCTGTGAGTTCCTCTACCTGGAATTCTCTTTTCTCCCTTTCTACCTGCAGAATTCCTACTCATCTTGGGGGCCCTCAGATGTCAATTCCACTATGAAGCCATTTTAATTTGCTCAACGTTGATTGATTCTTTCTCTGAGCTCCTCAGACCTATACTCAGACATCTGGTGTGTCCCTTATCACAGTTTGCACATTTCTGTACTCAAATAAGTTTCTAGAGAGCAGGGAACCTTCTGTCACTAATTTTATGTCCAGTGTTAATTCACTTAATATGAATCTGACTACACTTTATTAATGAGTTATTGAATGGGTCTCCCTTGCTTTAGAAATGCAATATGATATTTTCATCCTGTTGACAAATATTAATAGTAAGTACTTAAGAAATGTTTGCTAAATGAGTATTGAATGAATGGCATGGGGTTTTAATATTAGTTGGAGAAATGGTAAATGAATCCCTGGATCAGATGTTTGATGTTGATGGTTTTTTGATGGTGCCTTTTTATTTTTTGTTACAAAACCTTTAGCCACACAAGTAGATAAACTCCTTTTTCTCCTGCATTGCAGAAAATCTACAACTGTTGTTTTGTACTATAGCACAAACAAAAAATGATTAAATCACCAACTTTTTTAAATTTCTGAAACTCAGCATTAGCACCATAACAAAGCCATTGATTATAACCTAATTATACATTTGTCCAAAAAAGATATAACACAGCAATCCCAGGTCAGATCGGCGCAAATCTTTATGTTGTCTTCTCGCTAATAATGCTGATATTTAATGTAAGATACTTGACTAGGATTGAAATAATAAACCACAACACATTCACTTAGAGAACTAGGTGGACAACAGAAATTGTTGGATAAAGCACAAAATGGAGATGATTAATTGCCAAGCTATCCCTATGTAAACTACCAATATCCTTCTTCATTTAATCAGACTACTTGAGGCATTGTTGGGGATATTGCTTTCAGAATGGCCTTTCAGTAGAAAAGAGGCAGTCAATGGTGCAGTTTCCATCAGCAAGCAGGGACTTGAATAAACAGTGAAGGGGCCTGATTTCTTCCACCATTTATTCTTTAATAGAGTACTTAAGTTCTT